TGATTAATATTGTTGATCCTGTAAGTTTCCTTTATTTTAGACAAGTTTTTTTCTCCAAAAATTGTTTTTATTTGAGTAATCCAGGTAGAATTATTTTGTATTTCCTTTAATGCACATTTTAATATGTGATTTTCAGGAAGCAAATTTATTCTGTACCAGTATTTAACCTTTGAAACCATTGCATTTATTCTTACTGGTAATCTACCTAGTTCACCCCTTATACCAACTGATGGTGATAATAATTATTACAAACTTACTCTAGGTTATTTGTGTCATGTGTTCACCTGCCCAAATTTCTGACCCATACATTAGAATGGGTGTAACCAACTGATCAAATAATTTTAAACACAATGAAGTTGAAATCATTTTATGACTCAGTATAGTTTGTCTAATGGCAAATAATGTCTTCATTGCTTTATTTTTTAGCATACAATGGTTTGTTTTAAATTTTCCATTCGGAGTGAATATCATACCCAAATAACAGAACTCCTTGACTGGTGTTATGTTTTTACCATCTATAATAAAAGTTTGGTTTTTCAGTACTCTGTTACTTGTGTTGAATATCATCACTTTGGTTTTCTTAACATTCACATCAAGATTCCAGGTTTTACAATAGTCTGCTAATTTATTCAGACAATTTTGTAAACCCTCTGCAGTCTGTGAAAACAAAACAAGATCGTCTGCATATAAAATAGAGTTTAAGGGTTTATCACCAATCATGATTGGTGTATCACCACTTTTACCAAAATGACCTGGAAGATCATTGATGAATATGTTAAAAAGGGTGGGTGAGATATTACAACCCTGTTTTATTATAATTACAATAGTGTGCTGCTTTTCTAATAACGCAAATATGTTTACAGTATTTCACGGGCTCTAAATATTTAAACTTTGCAATGTATTGCTCTTATAATAATTACGCAAACTAAGTTATTTTTATTGTTGTTGGGACACTATTACCCGGGCTATTGGGTCTGTGAATATTTAAATATTACCGACTTGATAATGCGTTGCATTCGTAATTATTACGCAAATATAAACATGGGCGCATTTAAATCATTGAAAAAGATAGTCAGGTCCCGGAGTCAGGTGTCCAACGAAAGTCGAGAAAATATTTTAAATACTTGTGACTCATCGGTGAATTATTTTATTCGAAATATAGTGAATATGTAACCATACAACAACATACAATATCATGCGTAATGTTAATTTTTTCTATAATAAACTCGCAGTTCACTTCGATCGCATAATTCGCGTACATGACTGAACTATAAATAACCACGCGTTTGAATTACGTGCGGCAATGGGCAATGACCTCAATGAGTTCACGCACTGACCCCCCAGTTTGACGCAAAACGATATAGTTACTTAACATTTGTTCAAAAAATCGGTAAACTCTCACAAATATCATGAACGCGAAGAGTTAACTGAAAGGCAACGTCGTTTTTGACCCAAAAAAACAAAAACAAAAACACGTCAATACAAGATTATGTGTGCAAGATTAGATTTTTAGAACGTACATGACCGCTTTAATAACTGTTTTTTTTAATAATCATGTTGCTCGTGAAACACAGGAGACATTTTAGTTCGTCCATTTCTTGTTTACCGATCTTATACTTTTTGTCTGGAATGCGATACAGGCAAAGAATAAACATTAATGATACCCACCGTTGTCAAATCAACAAGAGGCTCGAATCAAGAAGGCTCGGCTATTTAAAACTTCGTAAATAACATTCTTTTCATGCTGTAGACTTTATTCAAGTGTAACAAACGTAAGTGCAATGTATGGACGAGTCATAATACTCGTACCTTTGAAAGTTACGACTTTTACTCTTGGAATTGGTGATAAATACATGCATTAAATACAACATTGTTTCACGCAACAACAATTCGTATACAGCATTGG